CCAGGAGTTGGCAGCAAAGGGCAGAAAACAGAATATTTTTAAATCTTAGAGATGACTACACAGGAAACAGTCTTTATTTACTCAACCATCCAGCAATTATGTATGCATCAGGATATGTGGGCAGGAGGTCAGATGGTAATATAGTAAGGAGACAGAAAATGAAAAAGGGAGAACATTCTCAGGGCACACTATCAGCTGTTGTACCTGTTTAGGTGGAAACAGCATTTACAGCTATAACTGGTGTTGAGGTGGACCTTATAGCCGAGTCTTTGTAAATATTTAGGGTTATTTCATTTGGATAAAGCCCTTATCAGTCAGGTCTGGGTTCAAATCCTATCTGACTTGAATCTTTCATATTACACAGACGAAAAACAAAACAAAAACAAAACACTGCAGACAGTAATCAAGGAAAGCTATAATTAAGTCTATAGATTTTATATTGGAAATAATAAAGTGCCCTGAGGTCGATAAAAAACATCATTGCCCTTTATCCCTTCCCACAAATTCTACTGCTAGGGCTTTACTCAAAAGGCATAACAATAGAGGTGTATAAAAACTAAGCTGTAAGATATTTACTGCTGTATAATAGTAAAAAAAGAAAAAAGGAAAACCTGTCTAATGTTATGATGGCATATTCCCAATAAAGTACGATACGTCCATAGAATAAAATACTATTCAGTATTCAAAATGTGTTACAAAAGATCATTCCATGATATCGAATGTGGTTCATCTTTGTATGAGAATTAGAAAGAAATATATCTAGTGAAGTGTCATTTTCAGAAATTAAAATATTATAGTGTTTTAAATATTCACCAAAATGTTACGATAATTATCTCTGGGCACAATTCTCCTTTTCTTTCTTTTTTATTTTCCTTTTGTTGTTGTTGCTGTCTTTTCGCGTGTCTGGATTTTCAAATTTTTCTATAATGAATATGTGTTACTTCCATAATAAGAAAAAATATCTATTATAGCATAAGAATAAAGAGTAAAGATTTGAAACTTTACAACGGCAAGTATACATCAAATATGGAAACAAAAAAGAGGAGTGTTCAATATTGTTACACCTGTAATCAGGAGTAAACATACCCAAATCCGATTATGCAAAATGAGGGATGCAAATTCAAAACTCATAATATATCATTAAAGAATTCAGTAATTCAAAAGAAAGAAAAATGTTTGAAGAAGTACTAGATGGGAATGAACTGAAAGAATTAAAGAACAGATTTTCTGCTAGTGCTGGACAGTGTGAAACTTTAGAAGGATCAGCTTGGACAAAGTGAATCAAAATAGAGCAGAAAGATTGCCTACTTCATATACAGCCTGGAGGAAATGGAAAAAAATAAGCTAAAATGATGAAAAGAATAAATTTTATTGTAAGTACACACTTAGGCAAACATTTGTCCCTCTGAAAGGCAACGGATGCTATACCTTTGCACTCCAACTACGTCCTTCCAGGACCAAGTTAGATCAAAAACCCTGCAGCAGGCCCCCTTCAGCCATATACTGTACCAATACCGGGCCTAGATGGTAACTGTTTCCTGTGTAACTTTCAGTTGAAACACTTATTCTGATCCAAACTTCAACATCTTTAAATGCCTGCAAATGTTCATTCTCTAAAATTACCTATGTATTTATTTTTGTTAGAAAAAAAATAGGAAGAAGAGCTAGCACCTCCGTTTGGAAGGTGACAGCTAAAATAATCATAATATAATAATAAGTTTTCATAAAAAAATTGGCCTAAAATATTTTCAAATGCTTTAGTGATATAGAGTTGGCTAAGTCAATTGAGAGAAAAGGAGTTAACTAAGAAGCTTTGGTCAAAAATCTCAAAAGGAATGTAACGCTTCGACTATAATGACACAATGATTTCAACTGAAAAATATCTAAGAATCGAGTAGCACATATGCCAGGTGATTGGTACAGTATCTGACTGAGGATGTTTTTTAAATCTATATTGGGCCTGAGATGATATAATTTCTTTAGCATTATCACTATAAGAAAATACTGATAATAATAGTGTTATTATTAATTTCAATAGGTAACCACTAAATTACCCTCCTAACTGTCAATGTACATGCACTCTTGCACAAGACCTGAAACCTATGTTAAAATCCAACCTTCCGACTCTTTACGTTTTTAATGAACACGAATGAGCTTTCCAGTAAGTATATTAAGCTGGAGTTTCAAGCTGGAGTTTTCTGAATCTTCTGTCATACAGACAGAAATGGAAACAAATTACTTTTACAAATCCTGTCCATATTTACTGGCATAGAAACTAAAAGGCACTTTATCCTATGTGTCAAACTCAAAGACTGAAACAGCTTGCTGTCTGTATGCTTCAGAGACCATTTTTTACAAGCATTGCACTCTGCCTTAAGCCAACTAAACGCTAAACCATGTTGGGCTGCCCACACTGCAAATTATTTGGAATGTTCTCCATGTTTTGTGGCTGCAAAAGTACCTATTTTGTGGATAATCCAGTTTAAGTTGGGGCCACATCTGACCTTAAACAGAAAATTCCCAGGAAACTTGAAACTATAAATTGACCAAGATCCCATCAGTTCTGTGATCCCAGGCTCATAGTCAAACATTTCAATGGTGTTTTTTGAGAGCCCAAGAGACACGACATAATCTCTGGGAAACACAGTGCTGTCTGTTTCAAGTAAACACTAAGAACTCACCCTAAATATACACACGTCATAGTTGGGGCGGGGCGGGGGGAATGCTACATGCAATAAAGTAAGGGGCAATTGCGGCAAATATAAACACATTTCTGATAAATGCCTAACAAATTAAAGCAAAAATCAATCTAAAAAAGTATTTCATTTCTAATTTTCATACATATGCCGAAATGTAGCAGCTTCAGCTATGGAATGTAATAAAAATATTTCAAAACTTTGCTTATAGTGATTGGGGCACTGTATTATTGGTATTATTTTTCTGAGCAGTAATGGGTACTTCTCTCAAATCAAATACTTAAGACACTATTTCACAAACTGGAATACCAAAACTTTCCCAAGGTTTGCGTCCCCATGCCTTTGAGGTCTAGAACTCTCTAGGCCCAGCCTAACGGGGAATGCCTGGAAGTCATATTTGAAATGTTGAAAGGAGAAAACACTACACTGACTAACTAAATTTTACCTAGGGATTTCTCTACTGAAGATAAATGACTGGAGCATAAGAAATGTCTGATTCAATCACTGGTGGGATAATTTAGTCCATTTCAAGAAATACGTGGTTAAGATCGTTGGCATATGGCTCCCCGGTCCAAGCCCTGTGCAAGAACAAGAACATGTTGGATAACACAGTATTTTTAACTTTTGATATTGACAAAAATGCTGAAGAGATGGCAAGCTCTAATGGTAACTATTATTAGCTTTTGATCTGTTAGACTGGCTGTTCTTAGTGCGTGTGCATTATCAAGTCCTTGAATCCTTTACCCTGTTATATATATAATTTATTATTATATGTATGATTACATGTTATATATAATGTATTTATGTATTATTTCCTTGTCATATATATATATATATATATATGTATACACATATATATACATACAGACATGCATAAATTAATAGCTGTTGATACAGATTTATGATATATATTGTGGTAGATATATTTAGTTGCAAAAAGAGTCATTTAAAAAGAAATCATCTCAAATCAAATGACCCATACACAAAATCTCAATTAATCTCAATTGATTAATGCATATTAATTAATACAATTCTAGGAACTAAGACACATTTACCATAGAAGCCCCAATTTTTATTTAATGCAGTACTTACTTGCCTGGAGTCCAGCAAACATAAGGTAAAATGGAACTATAGTTAGGGTTTTAAGTATGTGACTTTTTCTAAGCAAATTCTTTTCCAAAAATGTTCAGTTTGCTGCAAATTTTCAGAAAATGCTTGAGATTGTGAATGATTTTTGTAAAGTTTCAATTCTGGTATATTTGACAGCTGAGTGACAAAACTGTGCTCAAAGATGAAACTCTGTATCCCAAACAAAATGTTATAATGTTAATGGTTAATCTGGAATAGTTTTCTTTCAAAACTTCCCCACAGCAAATATTCCCTATTTTGATAGTATTTTTTTCACACACACAATTATATGTAAAGCATATACCTGATTAAATATTTCATAATACTCTTTTCTTTAAACAAGCTCCCACATTCTATTTTTATTTTTCAAAATAATCTGGATGATGTAATCAATTATATGACTAAAATTTTGGCTAATACAACACTTCACAAAATATAGGGACTTTTCATCAGCACTTTTGATTTGTGGTTGACAACAGACGTACACAATATCAGTGGAAAATACAAGAACAGAAATAGACATGTGGTAGACACCTAGGATGTGAGAAAATGGACTTCATTCACCCGCAGGACCCACGAAAAGAGAAAACTTACCCATTTGTGTAAAATTTACTTCTATATTAGGTTTCACCAAATAATTACATGTATTACCTACCTCATCCAAGGGTAAAACTGTCAGAAGCAATATTAGATTATGCAAGAAACATCATGTTTTATTTATAATTCTTAGAAATACTACTCCTAAAATTAGTTGGAGACTTTTAATCTAAGACATAATGAAAATCAACAAGTAAAGAGAAAATCCTATTCTTAAAAGATGTGGTTAAAACATCATCTAACCTCACTGAAAAAAAAACGGCATACCTACTACAGGGACACCTACATTTCCTTAGTGTAGAAAACAAGTCTAAATATTTAATCAGAGACTAAATGATCACTTTGAAAATTTGGGTCAGCCCTTGGGGGGGGGGGCACATTTCATAAAGATATACTGTTGGATGTTTTTTGTTTTGTTTCTGGAGTTTCTGATTGTTTTGTTTTGTTTTTAGCATCCTGAGCCTCCAACATATTAAAAAAAAAAATCCCAAAAGCAAAAGGGGCGGGGGAGGGAGGGCGACAATCAGGGCAACGCTGAAAGCCACCAGGGCAGAAAGACACCCGGCGCCTCGAGCTCACCTACATGTAAGCGGCAACCTCTCCCAACTGTTGGAGCTCGCAAGGAGCCTTCCCACCTGGGCGATCGAGGTGAATTTCACCCCTCAAGAGTGCTGAGACCACCATGTAAAAGTTCAACAGCGTTCCATCCCCTTCCTCTCACTCCCAGCACTTAGCTTCTCGGGGAGCGAGCCTGGCGGGGAGCAATCCGGCGATGGGAGCCAACCTGCAGCCGCCCGCTTTCCTAGAAGGCCTCACTGCTCCGGCGGGCAGCGGATGGGGCAGGGGCGCCGGGCGGCCCGGCGAGGCGGCGCCCGGGGAAACCGAGTCCCGCCGCCCGGTCCCCGCCGAGTGGCGCTGGCGGCTGAAATCCCTCCAGTCCAGCTGCAAAAATCTTCCCGAAAACCCGAGCTTCTCCGCACAACTTCAGTCTCACCAGCCTTCTCCTCCGCCGCACACCCTCCCCAACGCGGCGGATCAAAGGACTCCGTGCCGGCCGCTACCTGTCCCGGGGGCCCGAGGACCCCAAGTCTCACCTCGTACAAAGGGCTGCGCGCGGGCGCCTGCAGAGCCCAGGGAGCGTGGCCCCATCCAGTCCCTCCCGGAACTTTCCTGACATAGCACTTCTCTCCCCCGCGGCAGAAAACAACGCTTCGAGGCGGAGGAGGAGGAGGAGGAGGAAGAGGAGGAGGCGGTGGCTTTCCAGGCGGCGGCGGCGGCGGGAGCTGGAGCAGAAAGTGAGAAGCATCGCCGCCGAGCGCCGCCGCCTCCCGATCTGCCGGGGGTTCCCGCCCCCAGGGTAACCAAAGCTCCCTCTTAAAGGCGCCCGCCGCGTTTTAGGGCGGGAGGGGAGGGGGTGGGGAGAGACAAGGAGAGGGCGGAGGCAAGTAAAGAGCGAGCGGAGCAGAGATGGGATGATTCCGGGGGCCACTGTCCAGGCTGCCCCCCCCCGCCCACAACTGGGGCGTTTGCCCCTTTCCGGCTGCTTCCTAAACTCCCCGCCAGGTCTGGTTGTCCCTCCGCCTGGGCAAAGGTAGGGCAAGTGCTCGGACCCCTTGAATTGGGGGCCGCCCTCGCCGATGGCTTGCGCCCCATGACGGTCCTTCAAACCTCTCCCCTTTTCCTAACCGCCCTCCCCTTTACGGGGTCTCAGCTTCTACATCCCCTCACCCCTACCCCCGCGACGCTGCCCTGGCCCGCGCCCCCAAAACCAGTGCTCGCTGCTGGCGACTGTCCTCTGGAATTGCGTTTCCTGTCCTGTTTCCTGCTTATTGGTCCTCTATCTCCAGCACAATGATGAGGGTCCCCCCCCCCAAGAGCGCAGGAGACTCAATAACTAAAAGCCAGTTGGGGCCCCTAGACTGGTCCTTGAAGGCATCACGGGGATGTGGCATGGGGGACTTGCCAAATGCCCTGCTTTACCCTGTGTGGTCTTCTCTTCCAAGGACCAGTTGCCAGATGGCCTCCAACTTGGATTTCTTAAACCACTGACTTTCATCAACAAAGATGGGACGTAAAGATCTCCAAACTGAACTCAGGAAGGCCCTCCAGAAACCATACCGCCTTATGATATATTTAAAAGATACTGGTAAATGCTGCTTTCAAGTGACAAGCCATATTGTTTTCCCAGCTACCAACATTTGCGATGCCTGCTAAGGCCATATAGTGGGGTGTGCCCAGTGTGGGGATGTACACACAGCATCAGCAGCTCTCATCACCCTAGGAACAGACCACAGTAACAGTGGGTGTGGACAGCAGAGGGCTTGTCCTCATGGCTGCAGCTCTTGCTTCTGGACCTCGGCATAGTGTCATGTCATTTGTACCCTGAGTGTCCTCTGATAGAGGTGAAGGTAGGCAGGCAATCGAGGTGAAGTTCCAGCCTGACCTCCAAAGGGCTGGGGTGAAGCTCAGAAGAAGGGGTGTTTTTTGATTTGTGCAAGGCACTTACTTGCATCAGTAGCCTGAGATTGGACCTCAGATCTTCCTCTCCCTCCACCTGCAGCTGTGAAATAAGCACATGTGGACTTGTGGAGGAAGAGGGCAGGGAGATAATATGCAAAAGGTTGGCGCAACTTCTGTTACAAGACGGAGAGGAAATAAACCTTGGGCTCCAAAAAAACAGGAGGCATTGTCCTGCCTAGACCAAACCTTAAGATGAGAGAGGAGGTTAGCAATGAGCAAGAGCGAAAGTATCCTGGTTTTATGATAAACCCCTATTTAGTCAGGATGTCTGTTACATCCAACTCAAACTGACAAGAAAACCTACAGTGGGGGAGATTGGAATGTATTGCCTCATATGCTTATAAATCCCAAGAATAGAGCTGGCAAAAAAAAAAAGAGTGTTTTAAAACTTTTTTTTTTCACCAGATACTCAAAAAGTGTCAGGACTCAGTTTCTCTCCATATCATGGCTGTGCTTTCATTGCACCTATTTTCTCTAATCTGGGTCTAGACCCACAGGCCTAGGCTTACCTCTTCCTCCAACCGGCTTAGCAACTGATCTCATTAGCAAGAGAGCAGGCCAAGGAATGAGTTTCATTGGACTCACTTGGATTCTGTGCCCATCTAAAGCCACATTTAGAACCATTATAACCATGGGTTGGAATATGCACAACCAGGTTGGGGTCATTTGCCTAATTCTGAAAAAGGTAGAGGGAGACAGTTATGGTGCCCGCCCGCCCTCCCCCCCACACACACACACACCCAAACCACATGGACGGAGGGGGAGAACAAAGGTTCCCCAAAGGAAAATCACTGTTGTTAACAAAAAGGAAATGAATCTTGAGTAGGTGAAGACCATATATGACCCATTCCCCACAGTCCCCCAGTCCCCACCACACACATGTACACACACACACACACACACACACACACACACACACACACACCATCAAAGGGACAGACTACCTCTCTGGCTCCTCTGCCAGCATCCTCATGATCAGAGAATGCTGATTGGTTGTGGGATTTCACTAACTGAAACAGCCAGCCACATCCTTTGGCTTCAGAAACCACTGGGAAGGTCCTCAGAAGTGTTTAACAAACCACTTGCAAACAAACAATATCTAAAACGTAATTGTATTCAATAATTTTTTTCCTAAATCTCAATACTTCTGCCTCCACATGCCGCCAACCTCACATTCATTGTGAAGCCCTGTCTTATTATATAATCAATTCAACTTGTTAAGAGTCTGTGGAAATTTCTTGTTGCATTTTTATTCAGTCAACTTGAAATGTGGACTATGAATAATCACATCTCAGTATCCAAATGACACAGGGCCCAGGTTCATTTCCAAACTCCAATAAGTTGTTCTTAATCTTTTCAGCGATAGCACAGAATTTATATTTTGCATACCAAAAATGCCAAACCGTTTCAGCATTTTTTTCTTCCCACACAAGAACGTTTCTTATAGTTGCTCATAAAAATGTTTCATTTTTCCCCCCTTCATTTCTGTATTTTATAGAAGATCTTAGATATCATAGAAAAATAGACTTTAAAATATGGAAGAGACTTTAGAACTAACTTAAAATCCCCCTTCATTTCAGGCATGAGGAAATGAAAGCTCGGGGTGCAGGTAGAACTAAGGGGATAAGGGTGATAGGAGGAGACTAGACTTTGGGTGGTGAGCATACCAGGAAGTATACAGATGTGTTGTATTATAAAGTTGTGTACCTGAAACTTATATAATGTTATTAGCCAATGTTACCCTAATAAATTTAATGAAATTTTAAAAAAAGAAATGGAAGCTTCAAGATTGACTTGTCTAAGGCCATGCAGCTGTTCTTAGCATCTGTGTTGTGCTCAACTCTGTGTTAGACATTTTGAAAAGTACAGAAGCAAAAGCATACAACATAGTCACTGTCCTCAAAGAGGTTAAATTTAGACAAGGAGACATAACCATGTAAGATATAAGATAATTGCAGAACAACACAACATATCATATAATTTGGTATAAAAAAAGTGTGACGAACCCTGTGTGTTAACTACAGGCATTGAAAGAAGACACACTATGAATTGGAGTCATCTGGAAAATGCTTTTCAGCCAGGAACCAACTTGATGGCTTTTAAAAACAGAGAGAAAAAAAAGAATGGGCTTTCCAGATGAGAAAACAAACAAAGTGACAAGGCACTGATGGGGAAAAGATCTCGCCATGTGTTTGAAACAGAAATGAAATCTATACTGTCATGATTTAGAAGAGTGTTTCAAACTGCAAATCATGAAATCATTTTTAGTGGGTTTTGACCAGTGCTTTTTTTAAATTAAATAAAACAAAATATCAGAGTGTATCATATTTAATAAGATTAAGTATTATTTGTTAAACTTGCATTTCATTGTTATGTGTTGCAAGTTATGATGAAAATTTCATGTCTTACTTTGGGTCAGGTTCAAAAACAGTTCAAAACCCCTAGTTCTGAAGCCATACAGACTGGGCATGAAACTGCTTTGTAGCAAGACACTGAGCAAATACCATCTCCCCAAGCATTGATATCCTTATGTGAAAAAGATTTTCAGCACAATCCTTTGCACACAGTAAGACCTATAAATGGTACCTTTTATTTGCTGGGTTGACTGGAGATTTTTAGCCCTGATTGCATATGAGAATCATCTGAAGGCATTTTTCAAAATACCAATGCCTGGATCCCACCCTCAGAGACCCAGACTCAGTTCTCAGGTGGAGGCTGGGCATCAATGAGTTTAAAAGCTCATGGTGCAGTCATGGCTGCAAACCTCTGGGCGAGACCCATAGCAGAATACATCTAGCACCTGAGCAGCGTGGTGATACACTGTCTCTTTCTTCAGTGGGCACATTGACCTTCATGATTTATGTTTCTATTTCTTTACCAAGCAATAGACACCATGCTAGGTAGTCAGCAGAATTCTAAGTACTTTCTGCTCTGAAAATCTTCAATTGTGGTGCAAACAGCTCATGGTTTATCTCAGTCAGTAACACAGCATGGATCCTGAGTCATAATCTTTTATGTGTCTCTTCACGTGTACAATTTATGGTCAGTTATTAGAATACAGCAGTTTCTGGAGGTGTTGAAAAGCAGTGAAACACCATCAAAATTTCCCTAAGGAAGAGGAAACGGGCTAGAAGCAAGGGGCATTGGAAATCCATAAGCTAATTAGCAAGTGACTCATTAAATTTCAGCTGTTTTCATCCTGACTTTTAATAGTGTAGCATTGAAATATACAGTAATTAGTGATGTGCTTTTTGTAATTTTACATTTAGCAAT